TCTACTGATTGATGTTGATTTAGGGTATTTGATGTATGGTTCTTGTGTATCTTCTTGTCTCGTTTTATTAAGTGCGGATTGCCATCTTAGTTGGTTCGCCAGTCTGTAGAACGCTACGTTCAGTTGGGCAACAGACTTTTTATCTACTTTCGGTGCAAGGCTGAACTTGGGTCCTTTAGAGAGAAGGTCTATTTCTTTCTTCTCTAAATTTCCAGTGAGATCAGTAACCAGGTCTGTGCTGGGGATTTTGTGTGGGTTGACATCCGTTGTGTGGTCCTTTTCGGTTAGACGACTGCGATGGTCTATGAGATTATTAAGGGTTGCGTTGAGTCTTACGGAGTGGAGCTTGCTTGTGTTATTGTAAATTGTGTACCTCTCCTTATACACCTTGGAAGTGACAGTTGGTTCGAGGCGAGCTGCGATGTCACTGTTAAGGTCCCGTAGCGCGAGGTAATGTGTTGTAATCTCTTTCTTAAGTTGTCGTTCTGATTTCTTTAGGATAAGTCGTTTGATCGCCGTCGTTGACTTAGCGTCAAGCTGCGACGGTAGCTTGATGTTATTGATGGTTAAAGATAAAATTGAATTTGGCTGAGAAAATTAGATTTGAAGTTTATGCAAATCAAGACAGTTTTGTATCAAATATAACAAACACTCTTCACGGTTGTGATTTCTATTGTATTTTCCTCATTAATTATTCATGAGTTTTACMATGGATTTGAGAATACTAGTACTGTGCATGTATATTTTGCTTCCAGGGTTAAATGCATGTATGCTATAAAACACAATGTTTGAGAGACATTTAAGAATAACTCAATGATTAGACTGCATACCATTTTCATGAGCAAGAAGTAAWGAAAAATCATTTATGTTGGGCTCTTCATATTAATTATGTAAACTGTATAGTTGCTTATACATTACATATATACCAGCTTTGTTAGAATTAATTCTGCTTATATTAAATAAGGTTGAGTATCAAAAACAACAACAGTATCCAGTTAGTCTTAGTATTTTGATCTGCTCTCATAATTAAAGTTAATTATATGTGATCAAGACATACATGTAGACTTTGTAAACAATAATTTCTCACTTTTCAGAGAATTTCTAAATACACTTCAAATCTACCATCTATTTAATAAATTACATTTTGTACATTGTAGTTCATATTGAAATTATATTTGGCTGAACATTACAGAGGAACGCACAAATAGCCCACATCTGATTTGCGAGGCCTAACTGGTGCATAGGTACCACACGGTCCCAGATGTGAAAGTTTTTGATTTTATTGATTGCCCGTTCGACATGGATGCGTAAACTAGCAATCTCTTGAGTGAGTACAACATCTTCAGCTTCCATCTGGCTTGAACTCCCAAGGAAAGGTGGCAATCTCACATTTACCATGACGAGCCGCAGCCCTTAGATACTGCGATAGTGGTCATCGAAAATGACCAAGTATCATATAGCAAAACCAGGAATACAAAAGAACTGTTGACAGATTCGATTTCAGAGCATCGATTGTTTGACAGGAAATGTCACCAGCACACTCTTATATTACATGTACTTAACTGGACTTATTCTTTTTACCTGTCATCACGGAAATTATAGAATTATTATAAGCTTTAAGAAGAACTGAGAAGTCTAAAGCTTTTTCAAATTGTTTTGATAAACGAAATTAAGCTATTAATACRATACAATACAATGTTTTTATTATTGGTATTTTATATAGCTTCCATTTGGAGGCCTTGACTGCGGCTTTGTTTGTTAAAACAATAATACTAAAGCATTTAATTCTGTAATTCTAAAAGAAAGTTTAAAAATACACATGGATAAGAGAGATCACAAAACAAACTTCATAATGTTTGATATTACTTTGAATTTTTTAATATTTACAATACGACGGCGTTATCCATTAATCGTTTCTTTACTTACTTAAACCGTTTAAAATACTTTTTATTTCTAGCACTGAAGGTCTATTCTCAGGTAACACTGATAGCATTCTGCTTTTAAGAACTTCGAATGTCTTATAAAAACTTCGTTTGGTCACAGCGGCTTCGAGCATTTTCCCTAAGGAAAAGACATCGCTAGCAGTACTTTGTTTAGCGATTCCTTTGGCAACTTCTGGAGCTATGTAGCTCGCACCTATGCCACGTGCTCTCTTTCGGCATTGATCAAACTTGTTACTTTTACCAAAATCAATTAAAATTGGTCTAAACGATTCCCCTGAAGGTTGTAAAAGTACATTATTTGATTTGATGTCGTTATGGAGATAGCCCTTCTCATGGACGTAGCCTAGAACACTGCATATCTCGCCAAATACTTGAGCAATCTGCGCTTTGCCGAAAAGCTTTCTGTGGACTGCTTTTTGGAGTGTTAGACTTTCTGTCTCAGTTCCATGAAATTGTAGAACGAGGCAGTAGGGCTCAAGTACTGAACATATTCCTAAGATGAGTGGTAAGTTTGGACAGAGTTAGTAGAGGAGACTGGTTAGGAGACCCGGCAAACTTCAAAGGGCCGGCSTATTGCCTTGACTTTGGTGTCGAACGTACCCRTCACGGTATGTGAACGYGCATGACATAGAACAGAATACCCAAGATGGCGGCTGTTTYAGACGACTTGTTTGTGTTTGGTGATGATTTTGAAACAATTTTAGACATTCTAGAAGAAGATGAAGCCTTGGAGGATGAATTTTCTACTACAGCTAGTGATGTAAGTCCGAAAAAGATAAATTTGAACCTTTGTTTTGGTTATATATAGCGATAAGTGCAGGCCGTTGTGTCTTAGCAATGAACTCTCACGATGTGTGGTCTTGATCTGGTCTAAGATGAGAACCAGTCGCTTCTCTCTTTCATCAACTTATTGAATGTATTGCTCTCTTTTTTATAGGTAGAACAGTCAGTTATTATTTGCAGCGAGTGCGGTAAAGAATGCAAGTCGAAAGGAGGCTACACAAGGCATCATAATGCCAAACATGGGTCAAAACAGAAGAACTCTAATACTTCGACGACTGAAGAGTCTCAACAAACCTCGATTTTGACCACAGCCATCCTCAACAAAATAGTGCTTAATGCACTACGAGGTATTATGGAAAACGGAGTGTTTGCGACTCTGAAAGACGACTTCAATCATTATGAGTACAAACAACATGAAAGTACACAAGAATTCATGGTGATGAAAACTCTCTACGAAAACTATCTGAAGAATGCAAACACAGAAACGTTTTATGGAAACTATTATGCTCAAGTACCATTAAAATCAACCTTGTTTTTTCCTGGACTTACCCGTAATGCTGCTACACTTCTAGCTACTAAAGTAGCAGATAGTATGCTGTCATATTGCAACCAAATCAAGTCTGTTAACAAGAGCCAGCAAAGCTTTGCAAAAACTGAACTCTCAGAGCAWGAGAATGCAGGTCTGCAATATATTGGAGGATATGTTTTACACAAACTTCATAAGAAGTATGCAAGAAAATCATCCCCTGAGAATCATCAGGCTATGGCTATTTTAAAGGCTGGTAAATTAGAGAAAGACATGGAATCACACAAGTTGGTGTCATGCTTGACCCGGGGAGGTTTATGGTCCATTACTAAGCCAGCCGAGAACATTTTCTTGTATACAGAATGTCATTTTAGAAATTTATATTCTACGTCTGGCTTAAATAGCATTGACATGTCAGGGATCACAAAAACAGTAGTAACAGATAGTGAGGTGATATCAAACTACCAAACTATGGTCTCAGATGCAGAACTAGTCACAAACACTCACGTTGAAAAAGATGTTTTCAGCAGTATTGTTAGCTTGTACATTCGAGTCAGATCATTCTCCTTTGCAAAGGATGTTTTACAACAGTATAAAATCAAAGCAAAGCAAACTAAGACCAAGGCACTTCGTAAAGAAATTATGAGGACATGTGAGCAACAGGAACAAGATAGGCATGACTAAAAGTTAAATATATGATTTTATTATTGTATTTCAATGTACTATGGTATTTCACCATATAATTCAATGTACATGTTATAACATTTTGTAATTAAGTTTTTTTAAAAATCTATGTAAAAGAATGCATGAGAAACAAATGACAAAACAGAATGCATTCTATTCAGTACTTCAACATCATACCCTTTCGTTGTTTGATATCTGTTTCAGTTATTCTATTTAAAGTTGATGTAGATACTTGTAAATAAAATATAAA